AAGAAGATGGTACTTGATCGCCTATGAGAATGCTGAGCAGTGTACCTCTTCTGCACCCATGGCGATTAATCAGACCTCTTCATTTCTGAACGATTTCGTATTTCTATCATTCACTGAAATCACACGACTTTCAGAAGGTAACCTTTTGAATTGATTTTTACGTTTAGTCGAATTGCTTGCTGTGTTTGGTTACTTTGTTTAAGGTCTATGCGTGTCTTGGCGATGAATAATGACGGCTTTGCCTAAGACGTAACCTTCTAATAAAATATTGTCTCGAGATCGTTGTCAGTTTCTAACTGGTGAATTACAAGGCCCCTTTCTGAAGAATTTGTATTCAAGAGATTCCTCCTCTTTATGTACTCACTACGTTTTAATTTCATTGTCACTCCATTTTAAAGTCTCGTTTAAACTAACTCCAATAATTTAATAAGGTTTTATCCTCAAGAACTTAAGCCATTACAACTAACTCGTTAACGTCAATTATTGCGAACAAACGTTCGATCTGTGTGTTACGCCTATTAGTGCTTTAATGGATTTCAAATCAGTGCAACTGCAGTTACCTGGTACCGAGATCGAGACTGATCCGGATGTGGAGATACAGCTGAATGCTCCTTTCGACACGTGGACCACCGCTGAGGTTCGGATGAAAAACAACAACGAACATAGAATTGCATTCTGTACAAGGATGACCCGCTCAACGGATTTTGTTGTTGTGCCCTCCCGCGGTTTCATCAGTCCACACAAAGAGCGATGGATTCGCGTCTCACGTAAGCCGAACGTTAAGCCTAGAAATCAAGACCGTATCATCATCATATACAGTATGATCCTGTCGGATGAATACACCGTGAACGTGAACTGGTTTTCAGACGGTTCGGTAGTAAGGAAGAAAAACATTACACTGAAACAATAAGTAAGAGTTGAACATAAACAATGGAGGACGGAAACAAGAATATGCATCGCAAGACAATACTGAATTTTCTACTTGCGTTTCTGCCTTAATAAGGCATCGCAGATAAATCATTTTTTCATATTTAATTGTTTGATGGCTAACTTCTTTGAATCTCAAATATCTCATAACGTATAAAAATAATCATTATTCAGTCAAATATTCGGTGTATGAATTAAACTTTTGCTTGCAACGAGGTCAACCATCAGTTGAATGGGGCCAGGCAGTAAGCGCAGGCATGAACCAACATCAACTGGAACTTCGTAAGTCAGTCACTCAGGCAGGCAGGCAAGTAATCAGCCGCCCAGCCTGTCAGCCAATCAGTCAGGCCAGTCAGTCAGTTTCGATGACAGTTATCTAAAATTAGTGAGACAGCAACAGCAGGTAAAGTCTCCAACGTTGCTGATTCTGTGCCAGCGTCTCATCTTCGGCAGATAAACGCCTGAGCTTGAAGAAGACTCCTTCGAGGCATTTGCCTCAGGTTCTGGCAGTCCCTGGGGTCTATGTATCCATGCATGCATGTTTGGGGGTGTGCATACATGTGTGTATCGACTGGTCGTGTACGTGTCTATGTATGCATGCCCGAGGAGTATGTATACATGTGTGTATCGATTGGTCGTCTATGTGTCTATGTATCGTCTACCAGCATCTCATCTTTGACAGATGAACGCCTGAGCTTGAAGAAGACTCCTTCGAGGCATTTGCCTCAGGCTCTGGCAGTCCCTGGGGTCTTCCACTCGTTAGCTAAGCAAGCAGTAGCTGTTGCGTCTACTGGAAAATGCTCCCAAACCATTGCAAATGGTAACTTCTCAACCTAAAGAAGCAGTGACTGTACGACAATACTTTCTCTGTCATCTGATATCCGGACACTAGCGTCAAGCGATTTCTCTCAGCAAGCCGATTTTAACCGCTCATCGCCGTAGTTGAACGGTTTTAGTTATGGTCCACGATTCATGTTCATGGCTGAGCAGAGGACTGAAAATCGCCTTGAATACGGAGAGCTTCCTCTTCTGACTTTAGCTTTGCCTTAATCATAACGGTTTTGGTCAGTTAACGTAGAACGTCGTTGGACATTGGACATTTCGAGTAGCCGGTCGACATTTTTGTACCATTTTTCTTGACCATTCAACACGACCAGAGCTGCATGAACTTCTCCACCTTCTCCACTGCCTCTCAGTAAATCTGAAGAGAGCATCGGACAGGAAACGAGAAAGCACTAGGCTTTTCGTTTTAGATGCGTTCACACGCATGCCGGTCACGTCGCACTCGGCTACGAACCTTTTTAAGGAGCACTGGAGATCAGTTTCAGAAGATGCTAATAAAACAACGTCGTCTGCAAACAGCAACCGTCTCGACTTCACATCTCCTATACCGATACACTCGTCGCTTTGGCTGCTCCTGACTATTCTGACCATGTACAACAAAAACAGGAGACGGGACAGCCTTAGCGAAGACCAGTGCGAACGCTGAATGGTTTCGATAAAACGCCATTTACTCTGACGCAGTACCTGCTCTCAGAATACAGTGATCGGATGGCTCTTAGCAGCTAGCCGTCAATCCCGTATACACGAAGGCATGTCCACAGACTGTTTGAGATCAGATTATAGACTTTTTATGGGTCAACAAAACGCATGTATACCGGATTGC